CACGACATGAAACACTTTTAGTACAGTAGTTTTCTGTGACAACAATCAATATCTTGCTTGCATTCTTTATGGCTATTGCTATTTCTTTCCAACAGTCGTTCGACAAACAGTGTCCATCCTCATCGATCCAGACTGAAATAGAGTGTTCTTTAAGAACAGCGACAACCGATCTGCAGAAACTGATATCTTTATGTGAATAAGAAATCATTCGAATTTTCTTGATAGATGTATTCAAAACTTTGTTATCATTTTAGATAGATATTTTGAATCGGTTGATATAGACCAATATTCCATCAGCAGCAGCTTTAATACTAATCAAGTTATTTCTCAAAGACAAAGGAATACATATTTCGCTGTTTGAAGTCGACGAATTCGAAGCTTCCAAAACAGTTTTTATGAATCGTAAATGCAAGGCTACATAAAATATTGTATAGTGCTAGTCGAATGAAATGTTTTACGAATAGATCATTAGTGGTTAGCAATTTAATAGATAGGTCGCAACGTTATCATTAACGAGCAGTTTGACGAGCGGTACCAAGTGTTCGTAGAGATGATTCGTACTTGAACGTAAATTAGTTAAAGCATTTGCTTCGCGAATATTTGCGAGTAAGTAATTAAAATAGATAGCACAAAAATCGTTAGAGTCTTGATTTGACCAACCGTTGAACATTTCTAGAGCAGCAGTTAGACAGGTGTTGTTCAACGCAATCACATCTTCTTGTGATTGACTCACATTGATCATTGTTATAGTAAGTAAGCGAAGTGAATCAGATGAAATATTATGTTTACTAATCATGTTTAGCCATTCGACCAGTTTTGCTGGAAAATCAAAATGGATTATCATAGGTAACAAACTTTTGTTATCCGAAATAGTAGCGATAAAGGAAAATATTATCTGGATATATTCATTTCTATCCGTGTCTTGCTTTGTGTCAGTGAAAAAACGATCAATAAATGTAATCATTTTATAAAACACAGCATCATATCGTCATTTGTGCAAACACTTGTGAGCTATGTAATCGGACAAATTTAGGCATTCCATTCGTTGATTGCCTACCTGAACGACGAGTAAGCTAATTCCAAAAATATATTAGTATAGAATTTGAAAATAGCCTTCGCATCAGTTCCAGTGAGATATGCAGACAACTCATCCGTGCTCAAACCATCCATTGCTACAGTATAATAGTCTTTTGCTGATAGAATTTCATTTTCAAATAATTCACCAAGTCTCCAACAAATCATATTCCAAAGATAAGTCATAACAGTCATAAATAGCGAAGACGAGAACTTGAGTGAAATTTTACAAAAGAGAAGAAATATACTGGGGAATTAATGCTTTCATATTTTGTTGTTTGATGTTAATCTGTTGTTAAGAGATGGATCAGTCAGATGATCTTTCAAGGCAAATGGTATATTGTTAATTTCCGATGTATCAAAATTTTTCTCAGATAGACTTGTGTATGAATTAAGACGATCGATTAATTCATTAATTCTAATTAGGTCTGCATTTTTTCAGTATTATCGTTATTGTTGTCTTGAAGTTGATTCATTATCGTACCTATGCAGCGGAGGTAGATTTTCAGAATTGTAATGGGAATCTTTTAACTGCGTCTTTTTTTCTTCTCTCTCAGTTCTTTTGTTCTTCAATCTCATATTTTTTCATCCTTTGTGTTTCCACGCACAAAGAAAGCAAGAAAAGAAAAAGATTAACATGACGGTTACTCGTGAAAATCGAGCTATCACCAAAGCTGTATCTTGTAAAAAATGAAAGTGAAAGATATATTTACAGAATATTTCATCGAATGTGAACTACAACCAAACTGGTTTATGTACAGACAGAAAATAATCCTTCATTAAATGTATTTGTATGAGTTTTGACTACACGAGTCGACATTTCAAATGAATCCATATTTGATGCCATGCTATCTTATAATATTATTTATATAATGACTTCTACGTCGATTTTTTGAAAGCGAGTAAGAAGATTTTTTACTGATGAAAACGGAGGAAGTATCTTTGACAAAACACATATTAAAGGACTTACATAAGAATCTTGTCAGTGCGACCCTTTCAGAAGCTAAACTGTACAACTCACAAACTCTCACTGTTATATATTTATGGCATATTGTTAGAGAGGTTAAAATAATTTATTTTAAAAAAAGCCAAATGAATGAATAAATCAAAATCATAACAATTTTCATACTTGAGACGTGTGCTCTGAGATTTTATCATTTAGAAAATGTTTACATTTCGAATTGCTATTCTACCAATTCATTAGATTCATTTAATATCGTTGTATTGAAAAATGTTATTTCTGTTGTCAGCTATATCTTCAATACGTAACTTTTTTTTTTCTCCTAATAAAATATATACGATGCATGCCATAAGAAGCAGAAAGTATCGTTTTATTCTTCTTTTTGTCGGTTCAGTCACGATATCAACCTGCTATACGCATAGGTTGAATCGTTTAGTAAGCTTACAAGAACATAATTTGTTCTCTTGACGATTGTCGGCGTATATTGTTGACTTTGGCATAAGATTATAATTCAATTAGCTTATAATTTTCTACCTCCATCCTATTCTGACTCTGCTAGATAAATAATACTACCGACCTACAGATTGACAACTACAATAAGATCCTTTCAGTGTATGAAAAATGAAAATCCATAATATTTACGCTAAACTGTTACAATCTACATAGTTTCAGAATGATCTAAGCACTGATAGCTCCACCAGTTGTCAAGGTCTGCGGAAGCTTCGTTTATTAGAATATGTAATAGGGGCCTAAGGAAGGTCGGGGAGAACTGCAAAATCTCGATTTAAGCTTACAGTCACTATTTTCTTCGGAAATGTATGTGAGTTCTAGGTAACCGATCAATTCGTCGCACGACACTTCGTCGCAATCACTTCGTCGCGATCATTTCGTCGCAGAGCAATTTCTTTCGTTCTGTTCGTCACAGAATAATTTTTTTCGTTCTCCTCGTCACTATCTATTCTTGACATATCACTTAATTCATTTTTCTTTATTTTGTGCATTATAAATGAGAAAAGCATGAAAAATTTGAGTATAAAAAAAGAAAAAAGAAACAGAGGGAAAAGCAGGTTGTGGGATCTAAAATGTATCGAAATCCTTTGAAATCTCTTGACATATTTTCAAAATTATTTTGAATATGATTACACGATCAGAAATTCTTTAAATATTATACTTCTAACCAAGTATAGAAAAAAGTTGATCTGCAATGACATTTTATATTTTGGTAAATAATTCATTATTGGCGCAGCCAGAGATAGGAGTATTAGCAAATTGTGAAAAAATTCAAAATTAACTACGAACGGATTGTTTTAAAATGATACTAAGCGTTAAGTATCTGAAGATGTTGCGGCACATGCATGCATACATAAAAATCCCAGAGGTGGTATTTTGATAGATAGTGTATTGCTGCAAACTGCTTAAACTGTGAAGAAAGTTCAATTGACTATGTTTTTCATTAAATGGACGATCACGAAGATGACTATTCAATGGTTTATTTTCTTAAAAATGCTTGTTATTCTACTAATATTTGTTACTATTTTTACTTGTGTTTATCAATAGTTTTGCATATCGTATATTTAAATATTTGCAATTTGAAGAATGTATTTGCGAAACAGTACAAAAAAAGGGCAACAAGCTTGCCTCTTGGTTGAGGATAATATGTTTCTCTTCAACAAACATCGGCTAACACAACAGTACGTTTTAAGAAATCGTAGTCCCATTAATTTTTAATTTTTCATTAGATTATTTTATTTGAATTAGTTATGAAAAAAGAAGAATGAATTGAGTGATATGTTAAGAGTAGATAGTGACGAGGAGAACGAAAGAAATTATTCTGCGACGAACAGAACGAAAGAAATTGCTCTGCGACGACGTGATTGCGACGAAATGATCGCGACGAAGTGATTGCGACGAAGTGTCGTGCGACGAATTGTACTAGCGTCGAGTTCTACGAACGTCTTTTCTCAATGAAAAACTCAAACTTTCGAAACACTAATTACATTTTGGAATTCTTCCATCCCGATTACCTTTGATCAAACTGTATTAATTGCACTAATACAGGTAGACACATGGCTAGACAGATGCATGCAAACATACAAAGTCATTTTAGTTCATATGATCCTTCTATCAGTCGACAGAATCATTATTTGAGTGAGTTTATTCAACAGTACTAGCGAGAACTATCTCTAAAAAGCCTAAAATATTGAGAATTAATGTGTTGATGTATCGTTAGAATGAAAAATTCACATGAAGAAAAAGTGAGAAAAAGTCGAAGTTTTTACAAGATGACTTCATTCAACAATTTTGTACTTTACAGAGAACGACGATTATTTTCATCCGACAAAGTATACGTTTCGTTGTGGAACATTGAGCAATGCATCTTTTCAAAAGAAGAGCTCCACCAACGACAAGTCATTGAGATATCAACAGATTGCAAAATATGCCGTTTTTCTATTATGATTGACATGTTATCTGATTAATCTAAAGGAAGCAACTTTTAGATATTAAAAAGGAAACAGGATCGAGGAAGACGTTTTGGAGTGACTTTGTTTTCGAATTCAAAAGCGATTTTTGTTTTCTTAATTTTGTTTTGGGCCACTCTGTTTACAGAAAGCAATTCTAGTATCAATCTTCTCAAGAAAATCTTCATCGAGAGAATTGATTTGCACTTGAATCTAGTTGAACTTGATAATGCAAAGAAATGAGTGATGTTTGAAGACAGTTTTATAAATAGAAATACTCTTACGTGAAAAATAAATTAAGTTTGATATGAACATGAATACAAATTGTGACTATACTTGTTTACAGGACGAAAATTAATTGTTTCTATAAATAGTGAAAGTAATTTTTTGCCTAACTATCATGAATGATTTATATACACATAATTGAAAACAAAATGTACTGTTCTACACATTATATATCGATGATGGACATACTTTTTCTCTTCTCTTCCTGCAAGCATTTTCAGATGTGTTCTCTTGTTGCCTCATTTATGTATATTTGTTGCTTTTAACATAAGATAGAGAGTCACCCGAGCAAACTTGCTTACAGTTGTACATAAGAAATTGAAAGTAGTAGAACACGACATGTTTTTTTCAAGACAACACTTGACATTATTCTCTCTTGTAGTTGGTGCAATAACTTTTCATTTGGTTATCTGCAGAATCGCATCGATAATGACCTCATCATCTCGATTATTCCTTCTTTTTCTGGTGACGATTGTTACTTTGCTTTCTGTCAGTAATGCCATCGAGAGACATAGCAATGAAAAACATTTCTATCTTCCCGGTGCCTACATCGTGGAATTTTCATCCAGCTTGACTAATCGACGAGAGAAAAATCACGTATGAATACGAAATTACGAATTAAAATCTTATTGTCTTCATTTATAGCACGAATTTTTCTATCGAGAGGTAAAAACTAAAAAGGCTGTTGTAACTCCTCGTTTGAATTTATCGTCTTCCCTCTTCATTGGTACTTCTTTCCACCTAAATGATCCTGCAGATATATCTGCTATTTCGACACTCAGTTCGGTTGCTGCTATTTGGCCTGTCACCGTCTATCCTCGACCTGTTACTAGTGGCGAAAACATTGTCGATCTCTCCGAGTTTGTTACTGAGACCAAGAATGCAGCTTACAAAAATGTCTTTGCTCCTCATGTGATGGGTGGTGTAGATAAGTTGCATGCTCAAGGATTTAAAGGAGAAGGTGTCTTTATTGCCATAGTGGATACCGGTGTTGACTACAGGCACGAATATTACCTGCCTATATATATCTATGTCGGCTTATTTAACATTTTTAGACATCCTGCATTAGGTGGAGGTTTCGGTTTGGGATACAAGATTCAGTTCGGTTACGACTTTGTCGGTGACAGCTACAACGGAAGTAACTCGTTTGTGCCTGATCCAGATCCGCTTGATTGCGGAGGACATGGCACTCACGTAAGTGGTATCATCGGTGCCATCGCTCCTACGTTTACAGGCGTTGCTCCCAATGCTACTCTTGGTGTATATCGAGTTTTTGGATGTAATGGTGGATCTGGTAACGATGTTATTATTGCTGCCTTTAATGCTGCTTATCAAGCTGGTGGTACGGATTTGAGTATTTTTCTTTTCCATTTTTAACACCTTATCATCTTTTTGCTCTAGCTCAAATTATTACTGCTTCTCTTGGTAGCCCTTCTGGGTGGACTGAGGATCCGTTAGCAGTAGTTATAAACAGAATTGTTGATGCCGGTGTATCTTGTACTTTTGCTGCTGGTAACGATGGTAAAGAAGGTAAAAACTGTAAAATCTCCAATAGAGACAATATCATATTGACTTCAATTAGGATTATTCTTCGCTTCGACGGCAGCAAACGGCATCAATGTCACTGCTATTGGGTCAGTTGATAGTATAACGACTCCTCAAATGCTGTACGAAGGCCGCTTTACTATCAACAATTCAGTTAACACAACTTTTCAATACCTTCCTGCAAATAATCCTTTTCCTGAAAAAATTTCCGGATATTCATTGTACGCTCTTGATTATAATATAACGAATCCGGCTGATGCTTGCACTGAATTACCATCTGATACGCCAACATTATCAGAGAAGATTGTTCTTATTCATCGGGGTACTTGTACCTTTCTTAGTAAAATAGCTAATGTTCAGAAATTTGGTGCTCAATATATCATTATCTACAATAATGAAAATCCTATGATCAATCCCCAGAGTCCAAGCGAAGTGTTTGCTGGCATGGTTTCAGCTGAACAAGGTGGTTACTGGATCGCTCGTCTTCAAGAAGGTCTAACCGTCAACTTTTACTTCCCGGCTAATTCGACAGCAACTCTTATCAATCCATCCAACAACATCACTGGCGGCTCAATGAGTATTTTCTCGTCATGGTCTCCAACCAATGATCTGTACGCTAAACCAGAAGTATCTGCTCCTGGTGGAAATATATTGTCAACTTATCCTCTTCATTTGGGCGGCTATGCTGTACTGTCTGGCACATCTATGGCCACACCTTACATTGCCGGTGTCATCGCTTTATACAAGAATGCAAAAGGCCCGCAAACAAAGATCGATTCCCTTACTCTCAGACATATTCTTGCCACCACGGCCACTCCTCTGTTCTTCAACGATGGAAAGAAAACTTATCCTTACTTAGCTCCTGTTGTTCAACAAGGAGGCGGTTTGGTTAATGCGTTTGCCACAATACATTACACTACTATTATTAGTCCAAGTACTCTGAACTTGAATGATACTAGTTATTTCAAAAAGACAGTTAGCTTCACCATTTCCAACACTGGCTCAGCGGCCGTATCCTATACCCTCATTCACGTAAGTCATTGTGCGTCACATTATTTATCTTTCATCTAATTTGTTCTCAATAAGTAGAAAGGAGCTGCTACTGCCTACACTTTGGATGTCAACACTACTTTACCTCAAAGATTTCCTCCTGAACTCACCACACAATATGCCACAGTTATTATCTCACCATACGTGTTGACTATTCCTGGTAAGAGTACAGCTGTCATTAGAGTGACCGTCACTCGTCCTACGTGTCTCGAAGCAAAACGCATACCAGTCTACTCTGGTTATATCTATATTCAGGGTAGCAACAAAGAAAATTTTCATTTACCTTATGTCGGCCTTGGTTACAATATGAAATGTGTTGTAGTCACTGATTTTGAAAATCAATTTCCGTACATCTCGAATTCGTCCGATACCAGTCAAAATCCAAAACCTATTGGTACCAATCAGACTTTCATTGTTAGCAATGGCATGCCTACCATAAATTGGCGACTTGTCATGAGTTCGCCTCTCGTACGAGTTGATATTCTCGGCAGTGGCAAGCAGATCAACGTCGCTGAAATGAACATTCTCGGTAGCATTCCTGATTATCCATCATACTGGGTTTCTCGAAACTATTTTATTAAAACTGATACAAGTCCACTGTACTACAATGTGAGTTGGAATGGAACTCTCAGTACGGGTATTCAAGTACCAGCCGGTAATTATAGATTCTTATATCGTGCACTCAAAATTTTTGGGAACCAAGACAACAAGAAAGACTATGAGATCTGGACAAGTCCGATGTTTAATATACAGTATGAAAAACATTAACTATTCAATCATATATGAAGCATCAAAATGAAATGAACACGTGTTGCATGTCGTTAGAAAAACAATATTTCGTTCGTTATCTGGTACATAATGTTCACGCTTTTATCTGTTTTGAGCCTGATAAATCGGGCAGTTTTTGTGCTTTTGCTTTTCATACTACAATAATAATTTAAATTAAGCAGCCTATTTACCAATAGGGTCCTTGTAATTAGATTGTTTCTTTATTTCTCTCAAACTTTTCAAACACTACCATACGATCAACATTACAGTCATCTTCTTTGGATGTGACATGCCGATGTGTCATCATAATTCCTAAATGTTTCATTATCTTAATATACATCTGATCGGACAAATACTGACAAAATAATGCATAGTGGACTTCAGCTTTGCCATAATTATTTCTTCAAAAGTCATTCTCGATGTCTCTTTCAAAATCTGTTGACAGTTGCACTACCGTGGCAAGAATTATAAAATGAAAGTGGCTATGAATTTACGAGTGCATGTCCTTCATTGTAATAATCACATTCAGACCTCACACACCGAATTGCATTTGTTCAATGATTATAAACCTGTAATTTTAAAATTACTAAGATGAGTTGAACAAATAAATTTTTCATATTTCTCATTTTGCTAACAAGTGAGTTTTAAAATAATATTTAGATTATAAGTTTGACATAATTCAACAGAGAATAGATTTAATGTAAGCAACAACAGTAATTTATTTCATTGATCAATGTGAAAGTATCAAGGAGTGGTCAAAACTTGATAAATTTTAATAAGAAAGTCTGTTATTTTCTGAGTTCAATAATATATGCTATTGTTTCTTATATTCAACATTCGTAATGATTACATTCCGTATTGCTATTTGATGAACGTAATTATCATTGTTTAAATGATTCAATTGATAAGAATAGCATCCTCAACCAAGCTAAATTCACCACTTTGACTATTCTATAGTTTATTATGGAAAACGTGTGTGAAATAATGAATCAGTGATGCGTTCATATACTACATTGTGGATGAGAAAGAACAACAAATTGAAGAACGTTATTTTATTAGCACATGAACATTCACGTTCATTGTTGAATCATCTAATGATGAGTTAGTAGCTTATTCAATTTCATATTTCATGTAAGAGAGTGTCAAAACAGTTACAATAAAGCTATGGTATATATTTGTCGATTGTGTGTTTTTTTTTGAAAAAATATAGAATGAACAGATTTTTCTTTTGTTGTTCCCAAGAAGTAAATAATAAGCTAGAATGAACCATTTAGTGTGTAATAGAGACAAAGAATGACATCCGAAATATTCACCTCTTAATTCTTTTGTTAACTAGCTAAACGAACATAATAATGGTTTTATGCTTAAAGATTAAATAGAATCAATGGAAATTGTATAAGTTAATTAACATTGGTTTCAATCGGAACTCGAAGGAAAACATGAAATTTCTTCAAAAATTTTTATAAAAAAATTAAAAGAAACTACTAGATTTTCAGAAAATGACAAGCAAATGATTACTTCCATCATTACACGTTCCTACTCCTGGAATTAATTTATCTTAATGATGATATATCAACTATCTGTAACCTTTGGCTTTCAACTTTTGACATACATTCTGATTCGCTTGGACAGATAAACATAGAGACCACGGATTTGAACTTCTGGCAGATTAACTTTCGTGAAAATTTTTCATGAAATAGTAAAAACTTAATTGAAAATTTATTAAAAGTTATCAAATGTAAATATTACAGTAAAAACTGCCCATGGTTTTCAAAACCTCCGGTATATACTACCGTTGGTGAAAAATTTATCGCACAATAAAATTTATTCCTATTGGCCTAGTCCTTGATATGGCCGGATTAGGTTTCAAAAAACTCTCTGAATTATGATATTGTTAACGATATAAACTTCTTCTCACATATGCGCATTATTACATGGAATTAAAATGCTGGTTTTTATGTTTTCATGGTGAAAATCTTCAAATTCTTCGTCATCGATCTCATGTGACCTGAGATGTAGTTTGACGAGTGTCTATTACAAACATGCAGTGAATGGAAGAGGAGAGTAATAGAAAGATGTTTGACTCCTGTATCACCGATTATATTGTTACTCAGGTTCAATGTGATGAGCGTCTGTTTCAAATAGGCTCATATCACTTAGACGAATTTCGATACTTTTGTACGATGCTATTGTATTGGAATATCAAGTTGGTCCTAAAAGTCTTTATTGATGTCGTTCAGATGAGCAAGTCTTTTCTCAAGTTTCATTCGTTGTTCTCCCAGCCTGTTTTTTTTTGCGTAAAAATTATTTCTACTGAAATTTATATGATATAAAGTGTTATTTTTTGTGCTGACCACCAATATAATATTCATTTTACTCTGAAGCTGGAATTATATCCAAATTCAATAGGAAAATAGTCGATATTGACTTTTAGAGTACTACCGAAACTGTCACTTTCTTACAATATTTCGATGAGAATGACCCATAAGACCGATAGGTTTTTCTTACAACTATATAGATTAGTAGAGCGTGAGGCGGTGCATTTTGGGGTGTGGATGGGGATCTTTTCTGTCCTCATGCTAACGCTCACACTCGTCTGTTCAATCGGTTGTTGAGCTTTGATCAAAAATTTTGTTAGAATGAAACATATGTTCTTTCTGTTGTACATTGTTTTAGAAAAAGAAAACTCAAATATATGAATTCTAGTCAAGGTATTGAATATTTTCTATAAATTCTTTGACATAGGCGTTGATGGATGTTTATTAAATAATGTTTTTTTTTCATTCTAAATGAATTTTGTTCATTGAAAATAGTTAGCTGATAATGAAATTTGATTTCTTTTTAAAAACTACTGTTCTGACATCGAAAATATTATCATACCAATTGAAGAATGGTGCAATATTGTAGAATTATAGATTACTGTTCGGATTCTTAGTAGATAAATTTTATCGAACCTTCTGTAATATATTCTAGTGCTAGTGTCATTACTTTTTTGTATGTCTTTAGTAATTTTTCATATGTCGTCCTAATTGATTCCCAGCTGATAATTGAAAACGACGGGTTGTAAACGACCGAAGACCATATAGTAAAGTCCAAGTTTTCTAAAGATCTTTTTGTACAAAAAAATCTTCTTCATTTTGCCATCCAACTTCATCAATCAATAGAAAAAATTCATTGTTGAGACCTAACAATGTACGATCTTTCATTTGAATTCTATATTGTTCAATAGGCACCTTTCCATCAGAATTTGGTATCCAATCTAAATTAACAATAATTGATTTACTTATAGAATTATTGATGAGTGATGCTCGAATAAATGTTCAAGATCAAGTTAATTCTATGATAAAGAAAAAGATTTATAACATAAAAAAATTTGAATGCTATTCAACTTTACAAGTATAATTTTCCTTTTAAAAACAGTCATATTTAGTTTTTAAGGCCAAAAAAGAATACGAAACCATTTTTTTTTGTAAACGAGAAGATTTTTCGAGAAATATGATGAAGAAATTTTTGATATCGGGTCTACATAGTGGATTTTCTCATCTATATTAACTCTAATATTATAAGAAAATACAAGCGATTGCGAATTTTGTTGAAATGGAAAAGTTTTTGATGGATTCGTTTCCTTTATTGTAAGAATCATCTTTTCAATAAATAATTTATGGATTACTTAATGGATACAAGGTAAACTTTTTTTCATACACGGTACCATGTCTACGAAAAATTTTCTTGCTCTAACTGTAACCTACATTTTTTTCATCTTAAAGCTACCCTAGGTTCTAAAGAAGGATTGATGTGAAAATTTTACGGCACATTTCTCTTATTCTTGACGTGCAGCTTTATAGTTGACAGATTACTTCTTGTTATTCACTCTCTATTTGAAGATAAATATATGAATGTCATCTGTTTTATTAGAAATTTCTGAATCAGTTAACGATAAATTAATATTAATGAAAAGATCGATGTTAGTTAAAATAAATGCTGATTTTCTTTGTTTGTAGTGATTCGTTAGAAGTGTTAATATGAAATGCCAGACGATTTTTAATACTCGGTGTGACTAAACACTTGCAAATGTTCATCGATTAACGAATATTGATTGATCTTTTCATACGTCTGTTTACTGAATCAACCGGGATTATGATAATAATAATTATTAAAGGGTATCTTAGTTTGTGGATCTTCTTTTCAACAATATCCATATCCTATCAAACAATGATGCAATGTAGGTCAAAACACAAGAGAAAGACGCATGTATGTGAAGACCTAAGCCATGCAACAGTAGTTCAATACAGGCCTGAACGAGTCCAAGTCATTCATTCAACAATAAAATCAATTTTAGCCAAAATTGATGGTTTCCTGCAGAAGAAAATTTAACCAGTAATTTTATTGTTTGAAAAACGAAATTCATATCAGTCTCGTAATAGACTTACTAGAAAAATTATGGAAATTCCTGTTGCATCAACACCAATTGAATGAGTGTTTTCTCAAAGTGATGATTTAATAAGATCGCATCGTTTGAATTTTTCAAAAACTAATATTTGCATTTTAATATCTTTGAAGCCCAAAAACTATGTTTTTTCCTTGCAAACGAGTTTAAGTTCAAATGTTTGTTCATAAAAATTGAACCGCATTTTTTAGTATCTTATGAAACTGGATGTAAAACAGCACAGTTGATTTTACTACTGTTACTTTTTTGATAAGGTTACAGTAGTTGCATGATTTTATTTGATTTTTGTACATAAAAACCAGGAACAATATTTTGTGTCATACAGTTTTTTTATTCAGAGAGAACGCTTATTTTTGGGGAGTAAAGATACTATGTACATATTTTAATAATCACAAAGCCGCTCTTCGAAAGACTACCCTCACACTGTATAAAACATTCGCACCATAGAAAACTTGCTGTTAACGTTCTTTATATAAATAAAGAGAAAATGACAAAAATCACTTGAGCTGTCGATCTCTGTTGTAGAACAGTTTACTAACTTTTACAAGAATTTCTCGATGTATATTTTGTTCGTATTTGCATAGGAACATCATTAATGTTGTATTCAGATTAATTATTGATTTCTAATTTTAATTTTTAATATATACTGTGCCTTGATTTTGTGATGCATCAATTAAAATAGTATTTTCATTATAAAATTTATTCTGTGATAGAATTCGATTATCATTAAAATACTAATACATGACAAACAAATATTAATGATTGTGTTTTAATTATTTTCATCGTTTGTGACAATTAAATAATTCTTGTTCGTCCTAAAAGATTATATTTATTTTTAATTTAGAAAGTTTTAAAAATTTTTAGTTATCGTTTTCTTTTTTTTTCTATATATTAGGGTTTCAATGTTTTACCCTTCTTTTTATTTTATATCTAACTAAAAATGTACACACACGTATACATGCACAGCATGACTATCCTACATCAGACCAACTAGAACAGAGAGAAACGTGCCCATATGAGTGATTTGCATATAGCCATTGTACGGTTTGAAAAAAAATCATTATGAAAAAATGTTTTGAATAAAAAGAATCTGAGTAGTACCTTTGATAGAGCTGTATCTATTATGTATACATATAATATTTTTCCTACACTTTACTGTTGGTTAAGGCTCCAGTGCAACGATAAGCAATTTCTATCTAGTTCTTAACAGAACTGATGAATACTTTTCTCGAGTACTTCAGTATTTTGTGTAATACAAATACACCAGTTGATATCTTAGGTTGATTTCTAATCTATGTGATGCAGAATTTTTCGGGCTACAAAACTGTGCCAAGCAAAATACCCTTTCGATTCATTATTGTGCTGAAAAACCCTTAAAAATCTCCTCAAAGAACTTAGCTGATTGGTTAATTGTTGACCAATCAGATTTTAACACAATCCTACTCTCCCCCCCCCCCCCCCCCCCCCCCCTCCCCTCCTCGCCCTAGCGGGGGCGGGCGCCTTGCTTCGTGCTTTCTGATGGTTCAACAGG